AGTTTCATAGGGCAAAACAAGACAAAACCAATTTTATAGGTTAAAATTAGAAAATTATTACTGGCACAATGACACTTTAAAAATCTCATTATGCATTCCGAATTTTCTATATTAGAAAAAAAAAACACTTATGAAGGAGTGTAGAATAAAATTTTTAGTATGCTAATAATAGTCCCTTAAAATAAAACTAAATGACAGTTTTAGAGAAAGATTAATTAAAATAAATCTTTTATATTTAAAATAAATGTGACCTCTTTATAGTTGTAATAAACTTTACACTATTGCTTACATAAAAAAACCAGCGTAAGATTTTTATTTATTTTTTAAAAGTATATATATAAAAAAAGGATATCGCTATCATGGGCAGCACTGACACAACATTATCCTGCACAAGAGTGAAGCCCCTAGTTTTTGACTAGTTTACTGTTAGACGCATATCTTGTTTTGGATGACAAATGCGCAACGAATTACCATTTTTGATCTAATTATAAGGTGTCATATGTGTAAAAAAATAGGGATGTGATATCTACACGCTCTTTTTAATTACTCTCACATTCTTTTAATTTTCGGCCATCGAATTAGATAAATTAAAGAAGATCAAATGACATAAATTAACAAAGTATGTGAGAGAAGTAAAAAAAGATGTATGGATAGTATATCCCAAAAAATATACATATTATTGATTCATTATTTGAATGGGATGCTATATTGACAGTGACGATGAACTCGTTAGATGCCACAATAACGGTGATGATGAACTCGTTGGATATAATTGCTTTCATAATAAATGGATCACGTGTACACCGACAAGATTTGTCCTAGTCGTTGGCTTTTTCTTTCCTCTCTCTGCTTTGCAGCTCAGCAGACCAATAATGTAGCTTTTATCTTTTTTACCAGAATAGCTACAAATAAGGAAAACTAATAAAAAGTGCTTGAAAATTTTGAGTTTTAATGATAAGGATAAAATAAAGGGTAAAATGAATAGTACCAGGATTGATTTTTTAGTGTAAAAATATGATTTTTCGTTAAAGTAAACAGTACCGGATGTTTTTCGTTAAAATTCTCCTACAAATACTCTCGAAATATCTCTTCACTGGAAAGCACTTAGCTTTCTCTTCACATCACACTTTAATTCCTTGCTTTTGCTCGGAAAAACATATACTCTCGCACAAGATATATATCCTATACACATATATATATAATTGGAATAAGAAGTTCAAGCATTCAAGGTTTCTCTCACGTTCTTTCTTCTACCATTTCCTTCAGATTATTCTCTATTACCAGGTACGGACTAGAGGAGCAATGCTATTGTTTTTTTTTTTTTTGTATTTATATTTTTTTGTCACTTGGTTTTCTTATGATATCAAAACTTTGATTCAGTTTATGTTCATTTTGTATATTGTAAATTGGTGGTTCGGACTGGTGGATAATAATAAGACCTGTGTTTATATGAGCTTAATCAAAGTTTGAAATTTGGGTTGTGTGTTTATCATAAAACCCCATCAAGCTGATTGAGCTTGCAACAGCAACCAACGTACTAAGTGAGGTTGGCTGTACGAGTCCTATCATCCATTGCTTTGGTTAGACAGTGGATTCGGAAACGAAGAATAGCAGTTTTGCAGTTTCATATATTTTGTTGATAATATTATGTAATCTATGATTTGTAATTGATGATTAAGCAATGCGTAAATCTTCGCTCTGTTTGTTTATTTTTTATTTGTATTTTTTTTCTCTTTCTATATACTTGTTAAAATTTGATTTTTGTTCTGATGGAACTGGATCTTTTGACTCTTAAGAAATATCCAGGGTAAGATTTTGGTTAACCAAACCGGTTTGGAAGATTTGTTTTCGGCTAAATGTATTCGGGTTTTCGTAGGATCTAGACAACATATGGTACTGTGTTTGTGTAGTGGAGTCTGCAACTGAAGCTGGCAAAAGATGTTTATATTAACTGCTGAAAATTTGTATGTGCAGAATGGCCTGTTCAAGATTAGGCCAATGGTTAACTCTTCTAGTATGTTTACTGGTGTTGCTGAAAGCAGAAAGCCATCCTGTGGCACTCACTCTCGTCGAGAATGCAGTGGCTAAAGGAGCTGGTACGAAATACTAGTGTACCCCCATACAGTTAACTGATTAGAATTGAGTCTGATACCTAAAGTTTCACTTTCATCGCTCAAATGTCTGTTTCTTTCGAGTTTTATTTTTGCGCTGTTTATAAATTTGACGTGCTATGCAGTATGTTTGGATGGAAGCGCATCCGCTTACCACTTCGACAAGGGATTTGGTGCCGGAATCAACAATTGGTTGGTTCATGTTGAGGTTTGTGTATTTCTTATCATGCTGAAATGGATTTTAAAGATAAGAATGACAAGGGTGGAATTTTAATCTTAGAAGCTATTTATCTCCAACTTTTCAATGGGAAGAGAAATCTGTTTATTGTGTGCGGGTTCTGTTTTTAACATTAGTCAAATATAGTTGGAGAATTCGGAGGTCTTGTGCCTCAAAACTTCTTTTTCTCTTGTTCATGCAACTAGGCGTACGATTTGTTAGCTTAGTAAGCTTAGTTAGTATAAAATTCACAATTTCTTCCATTGATATTTTGTTGTTAGGGTGGAGGATGGTGTAACACCGTTGAAGATTGCCTTGATCGCAAGAGTAATTACCGCGGTTCATCAACCAAAATGGAAAAGACAATGTCTTTTTCTGGGGTTCTTGGTAACAAGCCAAAGACTAATCCAGGTTCGGTTACCTTTTATATCTCAGTAATAGCTTTTGTATTTCAATCAATGTTTTTGCCTTGCCAAAATCATTTTTCATTTCAATGCTAGACTTCTACAATTGGAATAGAATCAAAGTTAGGTACTGCGATGGCTCGTCATTCACCGGTGATGTTGAAGCAGTCGACCCAGTAAGTTTTCTAAAGTTAATGAGCAACCCATGTTTTACATTGATACAAAAGTCTAAACCTGGTCTCTGTTGTACGTCCTTAACCATCCGCTTTCCCATCACATAACATGTTTCGAATCAAACTAATTTGATCAGGCAACAAATCTTCACTTCAGAGGAGCAAGGGTTTTCCGTGCCATCATTGATGATTTATTGGCAAAGGGAATGAAAAATGCTCAAAACGTATGGCCCATTCTACAAACTGTCTACTTTTTTCATCCTATCCTCGCTGCCGATAGCTCATTAGTACCACTTTTGATCACAGGCTCTTCTATCTGGTTGTTCGGCTGGTGGACTAACCTCGATTCTTCATTGTGATAACTTTCGTTCTCTCCTACCTGTGGGTACTAAAGTAAAATGTCTAGCAGATGCTGGTTACTTCATTAATGCGTAAGCGCTAAGCACATACTGTATATCTTTAATCATGAAAGCTTGACCAAACGTATTCTATATTTATAATGTTTTCTAGTTTCTAAAACCCTATAATGACTAACAGGAAGAGTTTGTCTGGATCACAACACATTCAAGGCTTTTACAGTGAAGTGGTTGCGCTACATGTATTGCCTCTCTCTCAAGCCTCCTTATGTGCAAGTGATAAGAGTTAGCTTCTAATTCTGATAATCTACGTTTTGTGCAGGGTTCGGCGAAGAACTTACCTGCATCCTGCACTTCAAGAATGAGTCCAGGGCTGGTGTGTGTTTATACTTTTGTATGATTTTGCCATTCACTCTATCCTTATTACTTCTGATGTTTCGTGCTACAATATTGCAGTGCTTCTTCCCACAAAATGTGGTACCTCAAACCCAGACGCCAATATTTTTGGTCAATGCAGCTTATGATTCGTGGCAGGTTAGCTGATTCTCTTAATTCTTGAATGCGTCCTGTAATTTCGATTTTATACTACTGTGCAGTGTTATTTAATAATAGTTTTCTGAAGTTCTATGACATATCCTGTATGTGTGACCCTGATTATAAAATCGACTAACAGTTTGGTTTGTAATCGTAATAACTTCTTTTTTTTGTTCGAAATTGGCGTGCATTTTTTTTCTGATTCGTTGTTGTATCCGCTCAGATAAAGAACATTTTGGCACCGGGTGTTGCTGATCCTAAGGGTGCCTGGAAAAAGTGCAAGCTTAATATAAAGAACTGCTCACCCAGTCAACTTCAAACCTTGCAAGGTATTTCATAACCCTCCTTCACTTCATACCAGCAGCTTGTTCACGTTTTTGACATGTTGCAGAATTGAAAAAAAAAAAAAAAAAAAAAACCGTCTGCTGGAAAATTGACTTGTCTTTTCGTCTTGGAATATGTTTCAGAATATAGGTTACAGTTCTTAAAAACAATTGCCAGTTCGAGCACTTCTTCATCTCATGGAGCGTTCATAGACTCTTGCTTTGCCCACTGCCAAATTGGAACGCAGGAGACATGGCTGGCAGCTGACTCTCCTATGTTGAGCAAGACGGTAAGAGTACCGTGATCTGCACTCAAATCTCGGGTTTGAACGTGAAAAACTATAACTTGTTTTTAGTTTTTTGTAACGTGTTATTGTGTTATGCAGACAATTGCAAACGCAGTTGGAGACTGGTATTACGACCGCACTGCGTTCAAAAAGTTTGATTGCCCTTACCCGTGCAATCCCACTTGCAAAAACCGTGAATTTGACTCGAACGATCAGGAAGATTAATTTCATTATGTCGAAAATATGGTTTTTATGAGCTATATGAGCTATTGATGTAATGGCCTACGTACTTATGGTTCTGGGTAATATTTATTCTTTTGAGCTTTGATTTGAAAGTGGTAGCGGGCATCTTGTATAGTGTTGCGAATAAAGTTATTCTAGGAATGTGATTGTGTAAACTGAAGATAAAATTCAATAAGATTTAAGACATCTTATCTTATTATGACTTTGGATTACCTAAAACCCTATCTATAATTAGTATAGATAAAGACACAAGGACAAGTGAAAAATACATCTCTCACAAACAGCTGACCCCTTCTCTCTCTAGCCTTCTCTTGCTCTCTCTCTCTAATTGTTTTATTTCACAACATGTTATCAGCAAGAACGTGAAGGCAAAGTCTCGAAATTGCAGAGTAGGGGACGTTCTGCTTCCTTTTAAGCGCTAGGAGGTGCAATGAATGCGTATCCGGGAGGCTATACCGGCACCACCTGTGCAGGGTGCACCCTGAGGTAGGCGAGGCAGATTCTTTGCCCTCCCACTTACCGTGCCCTCTTGTTTGTGTGGTCACGGTTAAGCCACGTTAACATTTTATATTACTATTCTTTTTTTTCTTATTATTTCTATAAAAAAATAATATAAAATGTTGACGTGACTTAACCGTGATCACATAAAACAGGAGGGTACGGGAAGTGGGAGGGCATGGTATCTGCCTCCAGCATATATGCCTTGGTTAGATCTGTCCATGCCCTCTGAAACAAAGGACGAGTCGAAAGCAACAAGGGAAAAACTTCGGAGATTGATTGTCTGCCCTCCCCTTCCCATATCCTCTCCATGCCCTCCCCATGCCCTCCTGTTTTGTGTGATCACGGTTAAGTCATGTCAATATTTGCTTTTTGTCTTATTAGTTTTATAAAAAAAATTAATATAAAATGCTGATGTTACACCCAACCCCCAAATATTTGTATAATTTCGTAAGTCCCTAAAATTTTAATGAAAACTTCATTTTGGTCCCCTAGCTTCACTAAATCTAGACCCTTTATCTAGATTCCTAAACTCCCTCAAACTGCCACATGGCAGCACCCCAATACTCCTCACATTTCTCTCTCTATCCCCTACCCCTCCCGGTGACTTCATCTTCTTCTTCTTCATGTCTCTGTTTTCTTTCCCTTCTTTCTTTTTTCCCTCTTTCACCGAGACACACACACACACACACACACACACCCACATGCACCCATATGCATTTCCTACTCGAGGAAGACACAACCATCATCGTCAACCTCGTCCTTTTTTTTCTTTCTTTCCCGTGGCTGTGAGAACGAAACCTAGAAACCTCCGGCGAGGTTTTCTTAATTTTCTGGTTAGGTGAGCCTTGAATTTCCCTCTATTTCATCCTAGATTCATGCGTGATGGTGTTTTAATGGATTTTATTGCGTTGTTGTCGAGGTTTTAGAACGAAATCGACTCAGAGGAGAGCTCACCCATGTTCGGCGAACCCGTGTGAGTTGAGGGATTTTCCGGTCATCTCCGACCGTTCTACGACAAAAGGAAGGTATAAACACACTTCTATCGTCTTGTGCTTCATTTTGATACCTAGATCAGACCCACCCTAAAGGCCATGTTTGCAATCGGCCAGAGTTGTAGAAGCTCCGGCGTTCTTCTCCGGTGCACCCAGGCATTTCAGGCCGTTTCCAAGACACTCGGGCCTTAGGCCCGTGGTGAACTCAGCCCAAAACCTTTTCCCCCTTCAGTTTAGTTAGTTAATTGTGTTGTTTTAATTGTTTTAAGACCCAAATGGCCTTTGGCCCGTTCTTTCTTCAACCCAAAACCCATTTCCTTTGGCCATTTTCTGTTAAGGGCTTAAGCCCAATCTCCTTAAACCCTTTCAGACAGGCCTTTGGTCCTTGTGAGGATCAGGGCCTTTGGCCCGTTTACCCTTTAGACCCAAAACCTTTAGGGCCCAATCGGGCCAACCCAAATCCAAGCCCAGTTTGATCCTTTGACCCGTTGACTTTTCGGTGTTTCGTCCGGGACTTCTCCTAGGCTAATTTCGACGTCCTGGACCCGTTTTTGAAGTCCGTTTTCCCAAATTCAATCGTTTGAATAGAGTTTGACTAAAGGTACCCCTTTATGTGAATATGTGCAATTATTAACGGTGATTCCGTTATTCCTTTTTGGTACAGCTTTGCACCATCGGTGTACGGTGAGTGGACCCTTTCTAAAATTTGCATAATTTTATAGTTTAATTGCATAAATGAAATGCATGTTTTACGAGTTTATGAATTGATTTTATGTTAAGCATGTTTATTGAAATGTTGATTATCGTCTCGTTATTTTGTAAGGAATTAATTGTTGGCCTATATTGAGCTATATTTTAATATATCGTATTTTCTATAAAAACCATGAACTGGTAGACTATTTGATGGATGACGATAGGATGCTAGAACATGTTTTCAAAACCCTTCTTTATAGTATAGACGATGGATGACTTTATACTATGAAGTGGTTATATTTAAGAGGCGTAACTATTTGTGTGTACCTAGTGGACACTATGCCGCTTGGGGAGAGGATTTGGTGTTGGTAGTTATGCCGGGAGAAATAATCCCTAGCTACGGGCTGAGGGACATGGAGCAGGCATTGGGCCGAGAGTTGGTAATCTCTGGCCACGGGCGCAGAGACCATGATGCTGGCATAGGGTTGGGAGTTATATTTATTCAATGATCTTACTGGCAGCACACCACGCTTACGAGACGATTTGTGAGACGATTGATATTTTGATCTCCGCGATGTTTTTCCGCGATATGACTGTAGACATTGAAATTTCGGTGACATAAATGTTAGTCATTGCATTAAGATTACATTTGTAAACATTGAATTTTGGTGAAATAAATGTTGACCATTGTATTAAAATTACAACCTTCATTCACTTCACCTACATCATACACTAAGTTCACCTACAACATCCACCAAAATTCACCTACAACATCCACCAAAACAAATGGATGGTGGTGATTCGTTCCCAAAGCCTATAAATAGGCTCCTCCATCAAAGAATCAAGAAACCAATTCACAAATACATTTCTCTACTCCCAAAATGGAAGAGAATACTCCCCACACATCCAAAATCCTTGAAGCTTTGAAACTCTAAAGCTTTCAAGCATCCAACCTCCCAAATTCAAGCAAATCCCGAAGGATCAAGAAAGCCCTCTTCGTTCTTCGTCAAATCCTCCTTCAAGATCAAGCCTCGACGACCCTTGAAGTGTTCAACAAATCCATACAACTGTTCATCCTAAGATCAAGCCCCGACGGCCCTTTTAGATCAACAACATCACCAAATCCACATAACTGTTCATCCTAAGATCAAGCCCCGATGACCCTTGGATCAACAATCATCCATCTTCAAGATCAAGCCCAAAAGCCCTTGAAGATCCGTTCATCATTATTCTTCAAGATCAAGCCCCGACGGCCCTCGAAGAAAGTGTTCTTCGTTCTTCGTTCATCGTTATTCCAAGATCAAGCCCCGACGGCCCTTGGATCAACAATCCACCAATTCAAGATCAAGCCCCAAAGGCCCTTGAAGAACTTCCACAAATTCAAGATCATCCGTTCATCCAAGATCAAGCCCCGACGGCCCTTGGATCAACAAACATCAACAAATCTACACATCCAACCGTTCTTCAAGATCAAGCCCAAAAGCCCTTGAAGATCCATTCATCACCGTTATTCAAGATTAAACCTTAACGGCCCTTGAAGAAACACTCATCCTCAAGATCAAGCCCCAACGGCTCCTTGAAGATCCACTCAAATCCACATTCAAAGATTAAGCCCACGGCCCCTTGAAGAAACTTCCAACAGTTCATCCAAGATCAAGCCTCGACGGCCCTTGGATCAACGAAACATCCACAAATCAACACCTTACGGAGATCGAATCAGAGGATCAAATTTGAGAGAGATTGTAACCCAAAATCATCAAACACAAATATTATTTTGTGCACGTTGTTCTTGTCTCTTTCGTTTCAGGAATTTTCCGTGTTCACAATGACCTTTGAGATGTTTTTGGCATGCTAGGGTTTTCAGTAAACCTATCACTTATTATGCCAGTAGTTTTCTTTATATAAACTGTGGGGGTTAGTATCTTGATAATTGTTTTATTAGTATTGTATATATGAACTTGGTCCACTCACCTTTGTTTTGCGCCCCTATTTAGGTCTTAGAAACGAGGACTACGACACAGCGTACGAGGCATTCCCCTACCAGTAACAGTCTATCATTCACTTGTGTGATATCTTGTAATGATATTTCCTTTTGTGATCTTGAATTAGAACGTATTCTGTGTACTCTAGACATTTCCTTAAACTTTGTTTATTACCTTTAGATTTTAATGATTATTCATGTTTATTTTCTCCTAATCATTACTCTTGTATTCAATAAATGGCTTTTGTCACCTTAGAGTGTCGGCCAACACGTGTCTATCCGGGTATTCAGAGAATATTGGGGTCGGGACATGTCAGTTGACGTGGTCGTAACCGCATAAAACAGGAGGGTATGGGGAGGGTATGAAGAGGGGAGGGCAGACAATCCATCTCCAAAAACTTCACGTTCTCTCAGGATGACATGACAATAACTGTCGCTTCTTGCTTCCTACTTTGATCTTTCTCTCGAAGGATGAACGTTGCGAGGGCTGGAGGGCTTGCATTTTGGACCACAGTTTTTTAGTACAAATGCAAAATCGTAGCCATAGGCTAAAGCCTATCCTTCAGATGGCTATCCTTGACTTTTCAAACAAATAAAAATCTTTTTTTTTCTTTGGGAAAATTTGAAATAGATCCAATTTTATGGGCTTACTTTTGAAATAAGTCCAATTTTTAGTGACTTTTGACTTTTGAAATATGTTTAAATTTTAGTTACTTTGGATCCATATCAAAAGACTTTTTTTTTTTTGAACAATAAAAGTCTAAGCTTATCAAGTAATCACCAGGCCTCTTATTTCATCACAAATCATGCTTTCTGTTCCAACTAAATTTTCCACCATGTTGGTCGAGATGCATGCATAATAAATTGGAATTTAAGAAAGAAGTTTCTGATTTGAAATTTAAGAAAGAAGTTTCTGATTTTTGACTATATTGCATGACGCGTACATAGATTGACTCTTGTTTTAGAGTAACTTACAAGTCGTTGACTTAATAATAAAATTTCATATTTTTAATATAGCTCGGAACGACGAAGACTTACACAAGATATATATACACACAACATCTATATACACACACACACACGCAGATACATCTATATTTATATTTGGAATAAGCTCACGCGTTCAACAGCTTTCAGATTATTCCCTATTATCAGGTGCAGACTACGGTGCAATGCTATTTTTTTTTTTTGGGTATATTTTTAATTTATATTATTTTAAACAGATAAATCTGTCCTATTTTAGTTTCCTTTTATCACTTGGTGTTCTTATGAAATCAAAACTTTGATTCAGTTTATGTTCATTTGTGTAATATAAGTTGGTGGTCCTCAGACCCAGTGCGGGTCGGGCGACCGTCTAGGGCATACAAAAATTAGAGGCACCAAAATTTTTAGAGTTGTATATTCATATATATTTTTATAAGAGTACAAATTTTTTTAATTTGGTTAATTGACAAAGAGATTTAACTAGAATTGGTGGCTTCCATTGTTTGAAATTAATAAGGAGTTCTTGGATTCAACACACCATGACTGGTGGTTGTGTTGTTTAAAATTGACAAGGATGTCCCGTGTTTGAAACATTAGGTGTGTTTTTTTTTACTTTCCAACTTTTACGAATTTCTTTTCATAAGAGTTTAAATTTATGAAATTTGGCTAAATGATCAAGAGAGTCAATCATAAGCAATGATTTTTGTTGTTTAAAATTAACGAGAGGTTCGAAGTTCGAAATGCAATAGTTTTTGTTTATTCTTTTCAATTTTCACGATTCTCTGTTTGGTTGTTAATTCTTTTTAATTCCTAGCTAGTAGCTATGTGGCTCGCAGTTTTTAAACATTCGTTTCAATTCAAGTCTAACTTTCAACAAAGAGTAATGCATAGACCAAATTTGCAAATTATATGATGTGTCGCTAATAGGTTTTTTTTAGTGCTCGTTCATTGCTTATGCATATCAATTAAAGACTCGAAAATATAATTATTTTTTTAGTCCCATATTTCCAAGGTTAGTAAATAAGAAAAAAAAAAACACATCACGATTTATATAATACACTTTAAAAGTTCATATAGAAGGAAAACAAAACTCATAATCTATGTACTTATAAGCCCGTGATTTTTAGTTCCCTTCTCTTAATACAAAATAAATTAGTTTCCGTGTTTCGAAATTATTTAGTTTGAAGTGCTTTTCTAAATATAATTTATTGAAGTCTTATGTATATAAACAAATAATTTTCTTATATGAAGTTATGACACTTTTTTTGGTGTCGTCCCGAGCCTCAAAAATCTTAGGACTGACCGAACTGGAGTATAATAACACATGTATTTATATGAGCTCAATCAAAGTTTGAAATTTGGTTTCTGTTTTTTTTTCATAAAACCCTATCAAGCTGATTGAGCTTACAACAACAACCAAAACCTATCGCACTAAGTGGGGTCATTGTCACTCATCGCTTTGGTTAGACAATGGATTCCGAAACGAAGAATAATAGTATTGCAGTTTCATATATTTTGTTAGTAATATTATGTAATCTATGATTTGTAATTGATCATTATGCAATTTGTAAATCTTTGCACTGTTTCTTTATTTTTTATTTATACTTTTTACTCTTACTATATGCTTGTTAAAATTTGTATTTTATCCATTGAATGAATGAAGATTCATCGTCTTGGTTCTGAATCTCTGATGGAATTGGATCTTTTGACTGTACGAAAGATCAAGGGTAAGATTTTGGTTGCCCAAACCAGTTTGGAAGGATTTGTTTTCGGCTAAATGTAGTCGGATTACCGCCCATGACGGAGGATTCCCTTGACAAATATATACAGAGACTGTATAGAGAGGGATTCTTTATTAGATTTAGACACAGATTTTTCAGTGAAGAAAAGCTGCCAAATGCTCTGTATATTAATTGCTGAAAAATTGTATCTGCAGAATGGCCTGTTCAAGATTAGGCCAATGGTTAACTCTTCTAGTATGTTTACTGATATTGCTGAAAGCAGAAGGCCACCCTGTGGGAATCACTCTTGTCGAGAATGCAGTTGCTAAAGGAGCTGGTGAGAAAAACTAGTGCACCATATGACCATGTCTGTTTCTGTTGAGTTTTATTTTTGCGCTGTTTCTAAATATGACATGCTATGCAGTTTGTTTGGATGGGAGCGCACCCGCTTACCACTTTGACAAGGGATTTGGTGCCGGAATCAACAATTGGTTGGTTTATTTTGAGGTTTGTGTCTCCCCTATCATGCTAAAATAGTTTCCGAATTCTGAGTTCTTGTGTCACAAACCTTTTTCTCTTGTCCATGCATCTACGTGTATGATTAATTAGCTCAGTAAGCTTAGTAATTATAAAATTTTGCATTGAAGTTTATTTTCTTCCATTGATATTTCGTTATTAGGGTGGAGGATGGTGTAATACCGTTGCAACTTGCCTTGATCGCTCGAATTATTCCCTCGGTTCATCAACCAAAATGGAAAAGACAATGTTGTTTCTGGGGTTCTTAGTAACAAGCAAAAGACTAATCCAGGTTCGGTAGATTTTATACCTCATCAATAGCTTTGTGTATTTCAATTAATGTGTTTGCCTTGCTTTGAAGGTTTGCTTTGTTTAAACAAGCATATATATCTTAAGAATTACCCAATAGTGATGAACATACCTATCATTTTCTTTTCGCTAACGGTAAAATCAATTTTCTTTTCAATGCTAGACTTCTACAATTGGAATAGAATCAAAGTTAGATACTGTGATGGCTCGTCATTTACTGGTGATGTTGAAGCTGTAGACCCTGTAAGTTTCAGTTAATGAGCAACCCATGTTTTGCATTGATACAAGTCTAAACCTGGTTTCTAATGCACCTCCTTAACCCTCCGCTTTCCCATCACATGGCATGTTTCTAATCAAACTAATTTGATCAGGCAACAAATCTTCACTTCAGAGGAGCAAGGGTTTTCCGTGCCATCATGGATGATTTATTGGCAAAAGGAATGAAAAATGCTCAATCTGTATGGCCCATTCTACGAACTGTCTGCTTTTTTCATCCTGTCCTCACTGCCGATAGCTCATTCGTACCACTTTTGATTACAGGCTCTTCTATCTGGTTGTTCGGCTGGCGGATTGGCCTCGATTCTTCATTGTGATAACTTCCGTTCTCTTCTACCTGTGGATGCTAAAGTGAAATGTGTACCAGATGCTGGTTACTTCATTAATGCGTAAGCACTAAGCAAGTACTTTAATCATGAAAGCTTGACCTAACATATTTTATTTTTCTAAACGTTTCTAGTTTCTAAAACCCTAGCCTATAATGACTAACAGGAGGACGGTGTCTGGATCACCATACATTCAAGCCTTTTATAGTGAAGTGGTTGCGCTACATGTATTCTCTCTCTCTCTCTCTCTCTCTCTTTCAAGCCTCCGTTCTGTGCATGTGATACGTGTTGGATTCTAATTAATTCTGATAATCTATGTTTTGTGCAGGGTTCGGCGAAGAACTTGCCTGCATCCTGCACTTCAAGAATGAGTCCAGGGCTGGTATGTGTTTATACTCTTGCATGGTTTTTCTATTCGCCCTATCCTTGTTACTTCTGATATTTCGCACTACAATATTGCAGTGCTTCTTCCCACAAAATGTGGTACCACTAACCCGGACGCCAATATTTTTCGTCAATGCAGCTTACGATTGGTGGCAGGTTAGCTGATTCTCTTAGTTCTTGAATGCGTCCTGTACTTTCCATTTTATTCTAATTTCTTAGCACAACCTGCTCCATAGTTCTCTAAATTTGCTAACAATCAACAATTACTAGTTCTCTTTTTCCACATTCGGAGAGTCTGCTAGCGTGCATTTTATTTTATTTTTTCTGATTCATTGTTGTATCCACTCAGATACAGAACATTTTGGCACCGGATGTTGCTGATCCTGAAGGTGCCTGGAAAAAGTGCAAGCTTAATATAAAGAACTGCTCACCCAGTCAGCTTCAAACCATGCAAGGTATTTCAAAACCCTCCTCCGCTTCATACCAGCAGCTTGTTTACTTTAGTGTTTAAGATGATAATAAGCAACTTAAGACTCCTCACTGTCTACGAGTTCCCATAGAAAAAAAAAAAAAAAAAAAAAGCTGTCTGCTTCGAAAATTGACTTGTCTTTTCGTCTCGAATATGTTTCAGAATTTAGGTTACAGTTCTTAAAAACGATTACTGGTGCGAGCAATTCTTCATCTCATGGGTGGTTCATACACTCTTGCTATGCCCATTGCCAAATTGAAATGCAGGAGACATGGCTGGCAGCTGACTCTCCTATGTTGTGTAAGACGGTAAGATTGAGTACCGTGATCTGCACTCAATCGTGGTTTCATTCGGTTGTAACGTGAAAACTGAACTCGTCTTTAACGTGTTATTGTGTTATGCAGACAATTGCAGAGGCAGTTGGAGACTGGTATTACGACCTCACTCCGTTCAGAAAGATCGATTGCCCTTACCCTTGCAATCCCACTTGCAAAAACGCTGAATTTGATTTTTAACGATCAGCTAGTGGGATAGTTTCTATTTGGTAGCGAGCGTCTTTTATCCCATAAGACCTAGGATATTTTAACCTATTATGGCTTGTATTACCTTGGGTTATATGATTTGTATAAATAAATGCACAAGGGAAAAATACACATCTACAAACAGCTGAGCCCCTTCTCTCTATAGACGTCCCTCGCTCTAATTATTTTATTTCACAAATAGCTGAGCCTATACTACGGTCTTGTGATATTCCCCTCTTCACTTGTAAGTGAAAGGTCTTAGGTTCAAATATCGTAGATAGAGAATTCAATGCCAAATTAGGTTGCTCATTGTGTGGCTTAACCGAACTCCATCCCCCCTCCTTTCAATGTAAAATATATCATTGTACTAAAAAAAAAACATGTTATCAACGTCAATGTGACTTTGCAAGGAGAGGATTCTTTAAGAACGGTGTTATTAAAAGAAAGGTGTTGAAAGCGCTCATCATCTACGTAACTCTGAGCCTAATTTACTTTTCGAATTATATATCCTACTGCATTATTTCCTAAATTTTATGCGACGTTTTAAATGAAGTCTAAGAATGAGTAAATCCTACAACTTTGCAAAATATTTCCTTCAGTCACACATATATACCGCAGTCGGAGGAGTTTGAGTACAAAGTAACATCGGACCACTAGACACTGGCAGGGCTTTCCCTATGGAGCCCAGGAACATCAACCCCGATGAGCTGGACAATTTCTGTCTAATATATTATATTGTCAAACTATCAATACAATTCCATCAAGTGCATAGCATATAATGTCCGTTCATCTCAAGTATACATTCAAGCAAGAATCCACTTGAGCATCGGTTTAAATTGGCAGTCCGATAAAATAGCATGTTAAATCGTCTAAAATGAGTACAGCTCATAAAACTTTCCTTCAACTATTCAAAGGTTCGGATCAATGACCCAGTAACAAGAAGTCAACCTTTATTTTCTACTGGACTGATTGGAAGAGAGAACACAATCACTAGGCATGGAATTCATGGGCTGTATAGGCTGTACAGCGTCGACATTCCATGGGCTCAGCTGGTACCAGGGAACAATGCCATTTTCCTCACTAGAGAAAATAGTGTCAGTCCTTTCCAAGGAATTATGTATGCTATATTCGTTTAGAAGGTCCATCATCTTCTAAACCCAACAATCCTTGATTGCTTCTGTTCCAAGTAATCAATCAGAGGACACCATTCATCAATTGAAAGAGCTAAAATCGCTTCCTAATTATAGAAACAAGAAAACTTCCTCTGTAAGCTTCCAATTGTATTTACTTAATTGATTATTTGTACACTGTGAAGCTATATATATAGCCTTTGGCTATTTACATAGATACCCCTTAACTGCCTAACCTTATAACAATCCTAACTAATCACAACCATTAGCACAGCTAATTACATTTAGTTGTAACAAACTATTTAACAGTAACTAAAATGGATGACTTGTCATTCTCCCTAATACACCCCCTCAAGCTAGAAGGGGAATCAGAATAGATTCCAATTGGAAGCTTGGAGCACAGATAGTGAAATCGACTTTTAGATAGGGACTTGGTGTGGAGATCAGCCAATTGGTCTTCACTGCAAACAAATTGCACTTTAAAAAGATTAGCCAAAACCAATTCTCAAATATAGTGGTAGTCTATCTCAACATGCTTTGTGCAAGCATGAAAGACAGGATTAGATGCTAAAGATACTGGTGAGATGTTGTCACACCAAAGTTGAGGCAGTGTAGGTAGAGGAAAGTGAAGATCTCTGAGAATTTTGTAAACACAAAAGTTGTGTTTGACATAAAATAATTAAAAAGTGCTAGGTTATAAAAGCACTTTATGTGGAAGCACTTGTCAAATCCTTCTTCAGCGAGCACTTACACGGTTACACCTGCTTTTTCACGAAAGCATTTAATTTTTTATAGAAATGTCAATGAATTTCTAATAAAAGTATTCTAGCATAAGTGCCTTCTAAAGAAACAATCACAAACAAGCCTTAAGATTGTTTTAGCAACCTTTAAACTGATTGCTAATAACGGTTATGGACTAGAGTGAGTTAAAGAGACGGGTGCATGGAAGAAAATAAGTTTCCTTTTTCATGAGATTGCTATGTACAAAGTAGACAGTGAATACACAACTCAAAGCATGAAAAGTTCAAGTTTACTCAAACATGAGGACCTGATCTTAGCACCCTCTCTAATTTCTCGGCTTTAGTGTAATCATTTTCTGTAAGAGAGCCAGCCGGAAAAGGAGTGATCTCCACAACTAGGTGTGGAGTTGGAAGCTCATCAAACAGAGCCCTCACATTGTTGCAACAGACACTTTCTCCATGTGCGGTCTCCCTCCTGATCTGACAACCCTATGAAGGCCCGAAGAATTCGGGACAAGTGAGATTAGATGGCTTTTTTATCACCGCTATTAAGAATTTGACTAAGAAAAAACTAAAGAAAATATAAAAAAATATCAACCAAATTGGAAGAGGAAAAGAAATTGAAAAAGGTTTCCTCAAAGCTGTTCCTCACAGTTGTAATTACCTTGTGGGAGGTTGCATCTACAAAGTGATCGTCGTCTGACAGTAAGGAAGCAATGCCTTTCAGAAGACGACGCCCTTCAGATTTAGATGGTACCCTGTAGTTCCTTCTGAGTGTGCCCTTTGTTGTAGGATGCCATTTGCTTACTAATTTCCTTTTATCAGCAGCTTCTTTTGCTGATAAAACAAATCAACAGTCGGGGGTTTACAGCATATTTATAACGAGCATGATGATGACTGATGACGATGATAAAAGTAAAGTGAAGCTCTAAATGAAAATTTTGTGAAGTGAAAATAAACAAATACATTGCCCCAAAATTTATATTTACAAAAGCCAAGAATCATTACCTTCAAGCAGAACACAACAACTAGAGTTTCTCAGCCAAAAACCTTTTATAATAACAAAACAACTTTTCATAAATATCGATCCGAGTAGGTAATCAACAATTCATTTTGGCATGTGAACGCATTTTGGTCCATCATGGTTGAGCGTATATGTTAGTACCAATTCAGGAGGTGATATAGGCAAACCCCCTGTTCTATCACTCCATAACCGCAGAACAAGAGGAACTTTTTCCATCAATAGCGAACCTCATTAAACAAAGACTTTGTTCTGATGTGCTTTGGGCCTCTCAACAACATTAACAGAAATATAATAAATGCCAGCAGTATTCTTCCCGCTCCTCGATAGCCTTGAGGATAGAACCACCATACCCATTCTTCCTCATTCACTCTCTTTTTTATTTTTCTTTGGCCTGGTCATTGTCTTTCCGATATGCAAACACCATAAAATGCCAATCTCTATCAATTCTTTAAATAACCAAGGCAAATAACAATCCATCAATTTTTTAATTCATTCGTCCTAGATATTCAGTGTAACCCATCTTGTAACAGAAGCTAGAACATGCCCAGCAACCCAGTTAATTAATCACAATGAATGATGCTGAAAACTAATTACATACTAAGAAAATCATGTGTCCCTTAGATATTCATAATCCTCATGGAACAGAAGCATTGGATCCTCACGCTAGCCTTAAAAACAAAACTCATCATTGACCATTTAACCATATAAATGTTGTTAGTCCCGTGCTTAAATGCTTATCAAACGGGTATATTCTACAAGCAAATTTATCGTTCTCTTCGCATCTTCATTCTTCAGTTAGAAACTGAGAGCAAAGAGCTCTACTTTTCTTTTCCTACCTTTCATTTACTAAACATACTTTAAATCTTAATTTCCCAAGTTTTATATCCAACCCAAGTTAAATTAATGCAACAAAATGTCATTCTGTGAAACAAAGAAACAAACCTGGTTTCCCTTGAATGCTGTTCAACCACTTAGAGAACCCCAAATCAACAGACCCACTAAAAACCCCATCACCTACTTCACCTTCAGCTCTTCCCAAATCTGAAAACCAAGTAAAATAATGAACACAAAAAGGCCATCAAAACTTTGTAAAACTTAAAAACCAACCAAGCAAAACAGAAACAACCCATTACTTCTGAAACTTTATCAAGAAAAACACAAATCAAAATTTCAGAAGCAACCCATTATTTCTGAAACTTAAATAATTGGTAATACAATCCATATGCTGAATAACAAAGAAAAATAGAAACAACCCATTAAAGAAGTATACCTGACAGAAGTGGACTAGCTGGAGATCCAGCCAAACCAGTCTTCAAGAGAGCATAGAAGATGCAGAGCCTGCCAGCCCAGAGGACCGGAGCTTCAAGCAGAGAAGCATGGATTCTGAGCTTGGGGTTTCTGGGTTTTGTGTAAAAATGCGAGCTTTTGAGGGGATTTGTTATGGGTTCAAATCCAAGACCAAGAAAGGGAGATTTGGGCAGCACAGCAGTGGGATTGTTCAGAATCTGAAAGTGTGAGGAGTGGAAAGATGGGGATGATGCTAAGGTGGTTTGGACTAGAGAAAGAAGCATGTTTCTTCGATTACAGAATTTTACAGTGATGAGAATTGATGAGAGTGCCGGAGGAAGAGGTCAAGGTTTGTTTGGGGACTTTGGGCAATGTGTGATGCGGGAAAACGTTGTCGTACCGACACCCTACATTTATTAGAATCCGGATCCTTTTTGTGAAGATCCCGGTATCCGAGAATCATATATGTTCATCTTACATCGTATGGTTAAAAATTATTTTAAATATTTTTATTTAAAATTAAATACAAATAGTACCTGATAAAAATTGATCGTACGATATACTATGAACGGACACAATTTACGAATTCCTAGAATCCTCACTAATCAGGAGTGGATCCTGTTGGCATTTATTACTCCAAAATCTCTCATTTTCCAAACCTTAATTATTGACATGATAGTTTTTTTGTGAATTTTCTAGTATGCATGTTCCTGTAGTATATAATATATATTTGGATCTTTGTTCATTAAATTCTTGAACTCCGCCGTGTAAGTTTATCTTACATTGCCGGTCCCAAGCCCGGATAAAGGAAGAGGGGGAGAGCGTCAGGTAGTCGACAGCCGGCACTCCATGATCACGTCGAATCCTTATGAAAATGAATCCAGAACGAAATCGCGCTAAAGCTAGGGCGTCACCCGTAAGTGGCGCGCTGTGTGGCCTGAGCACAGTGATAAGTGAGCAAGGGTCGCTGTATCTCCATCGGCACTCGGATACAGTGTTAAATGAGCAAGGGGGCTATAGAAACTTTTTTTCGAACGACTCCACTCAAAGTTGTTTGGGAGCATATGCTCCTATCAACTTTACACGGGACACACAAAAGAAGTACTTTGATCCTATTAGACGGGGAAGGGTGAAGAAGCTAGGACAGAAGGGTAGAGTTCAAGAGAGCAAAATGTGTTTAGGAACGTGGAATATAGGAACCTTGACGGGAAAATCTATGGAAGTAGTAGAAGTTATGGTGAGGAGAAGGATAAATATTATGTGCCTACAAGAAACTAAGTGGGTTGGGTGTAAGGCAAAGGATCTAGAAAACTCAGGGTTTAAACTATGGTATTCGGGCACAAATAGAACGAGAAACGGTGTTGGCATCATCGTGGACAAGACATTGACACAAAATGTTGTAGATGTCAAGAGGGTAGGAGATAGAATCATGGCAATCAAGATTGTAATAGGACAAGAACGTATCAATGTGATTAGTGCGTACGCACCTCAAGTAGGGTTGGATACGAGTTCGAAGGAGAAATTTTGGGAAGACCTTGGAGACTTGGTGCAAGGAATTGCTCAGACGGAGAAGTTATTTATAGGAGGAGATTTAAATGGACACGTGGGCAGGGAGACAGGCAACTATGGAGGTTTTCATGGTGGCCATGGTTTTGGGGAGAGAAACGAGGATGGGGAAGCTATCTTGGATTTTGCAATGGCATATGATCTCTTCTTAGCCAACACCTTCTTTAAGAAGAGAGAAGAACATGTGATCACCTACAAGAGTGGGTCGTCAAAAAACACAAATAGATTTTCTTCTAATGAGGAAAGGGGATCGTATAACTTGTAAGGATTGCAAAGTTATACCAGGAGAGAGCGTGGCTAATCAACATCGCTTGTTGGTGATGGATGTACATATCAAACGAGTGAGAAAAAAGAACAAGACTTGGAAGTGCCCAAGGACTAGATGGTGGAATCTAAAAGAACAAAAACAAGCCATTTTCAAAGAGAAAGTAATTACCCAGTGTGTGTGGGATAGAGAGGGGGAAGCTAACCAAATGTGGGATTCCATGGCTAGTTGTATCTGAAAAGTAGCAAAAGAGGTATTAGGAGAGTCCAAGGGCTTTGCCCCACACCAAAAGGAATCTTGGTGGTGGAATGAGGAGGTACAAACAAAGGTGAAGGCTAAGAAGGAATGTTGTAAAGCCTTATACAAGGATAGGACCGATGAAAATGGTGAAAGGTATAGAAAAGCGAAGCAAGAGGCGAAGAAAGCTGTGAGAGAAGCTAAGTTAGCGGCTTATGACGATATGTATAAACGACTAGATACCAAAGAAGGAGAGTTGGATATCTATAAACTAGCTAGAGCAAGGGAAAAGAAGACAAGGGACCTAAACCAAGTGAGGTGCATCAAGGATAAGGATGGAAAGGTTCTTGCTACAGAGAACGCGGTTAAAGACAGATGGAAATGTTATTTTCATAATCTTTTCAATGAAGGACATGAAAGGAGTGCTTCTTTAGGGGAGTTGAGTAACTCAGAAGAGTGTAGAAACTACTATTTTTATCGTAGAATCCGGAAGGAAGAAGTGGTTGTAGCTTTGAAGAAGATGAAGCATAGAAAAGCAGTAGGCCCAGACGATATACCAATCGAAGTGTGGAAAGTTTTGGGAGAGACAGGTATAACATGGCTCACTGACCTTTTCAATAGGATTTTGAAAACGAAGAAGATGCCAAATGAGTGGCGAATGAGCACTTTGGTGCCTATCTACAAGAATAAGGGCGATGTACAAAATTGCATGAACTATAGGGGTATTAAGCTAATGAGTCATACAATGAAGCTCTGGGAGAGAGTCATTGAGCATAGATTAAGGCAAGAGACACGGGTTTCGGACAACCAATTCGGGTTCATGCCAGGGCGCTCAACCATGGAGGCAATCTATCTCTTACGAAGATTGATGGAAAGATATAGAGATGGGAAAAAGGATTTACACATGGTCTTTATAGATTTGGAAAAAGCGTATGATAGGGTCCCAAGAGACATTCTTTGGAGGATTTTAGAGAAGAAAGGAGTACGAGTAGCATATATCAAAGTTATACAGGATATGTATGAAGGAGCAAAGACTGCCGTAAGAACTCATGAAGGACAAACCGAAAGCTTCCCCATAACTGTAGGATTACATCAAGGCTCATCCTTACGTCCTTACCTTTTTGCGTTGGTAATGGATGAGTTAACAGGACATATTCAAGATGATATTCCTTGGTGTATGCTTTTCGCAGACGATATAGTGTTGATAGATGAAACTCAGGAAGGGGTAAATGCAAAGCTTAACCTTTGGAGAGAAGTGTTGGAATCTAAAGGTCTTCGCCTAAGCCGATCAAAGACAGAATATATGGAGTGCAAGTTCAGTGCAAATGGAGGCCAAAATGAGTTAGGGGTGAGGATCGGAGATCAAGAAATACCAAAGAGCGACCGTTTTCGTTACCTAGGATCTATCTTGCAAAAGAACAGAGAATTAGATGGAGATCTCAACCATAGAATACAAGCTGGATGGATGAAGTGGAAGAGTGCATCCGGCGTGTTGTGTGACCGCCGTATGCCACTGAAGCTCAAGGGAAAATTTTATAGGACGGCAATAAGGCCGGCGATGCTGTATGGCACAGAATGTTGGGCGGTGAAGCATCAACACGTACACAAAATGGGTGTAGCGGAGATGAGGATGCTTCGTTGGATGTGTGGGCACACGAGAAAGGATAAGATTAGGAATGAGGATATCCGGGGTAAAGTAGGAGTAGCCGAAATTGAAGGAAAGATGAGAGAAAATCGGTTACGGTGGTTTGGACATGTGCAAAGAAGGCCTACTGACGCTCCGATTAGAAGATGCGACTATGGGACAGAGGTTCAGGGCCGAAGGGGTAGAGGAAGACCTAGGAAAACTTTGGAAGAGACCCTAAGAAAAGACTTAGAGTACTTGGATCTAACGGAGGACATGACACAGGACAGAACACAATGGCGTTCTAAGATTCATATAGCCGATCCCACTCAGTGACTTGGATTTTCCAAGTCTCCAACCGAGAAGTTTTCCTTACTCGGGAAATTAAGGGAACACTACCTCAACCTACATGCTCCACTCACAAAGCTTCAACATACAAGCTTCAACAAAAGAAAATTCAAAGAACTTAGCGAAGAAGGCTTTGGTGTATTTAACACAATACGTTGAAATGAAGGAAAGCTTATTTATTGATATCCCCGATAAGTTACAAATATGTACATATACTTGAGTCAAAATAAACAAACAAGAGGGAGCCTTCACAAAGGTTGCTTAGGAGAAGTCTCAGCAGTCGGTAGAGCCCCAGAAAGAGAAGGCACCGGAGAGGGATCATTTGGAGCCTCAGTACTGGACAGAACCCTAGAAGGAGGAGGCATCAGAGGTTGATCATTTGGAGCTTCATTACGCGGTACAGTCCCAGAAGACGAAGGCAATAAATGCCTTTGAAACAAACCCACAAATCTCTGATGATCAAGTAAAACCTGACCATCAGATTCCTTCATCTGGTCAAGCTTCCTCTTCATGTTTGTAGCATAGTCATGTGCGAGCCGGTGCAACTGTTTATTCTCATGCTTGAGCCCTCTAATCTTCTGTTTGAGACTCATCACTTCAGCCGCCAATGATTCAACTTGGCGGGTTCGAGCAAATAGGCGTTGGGCCATATTAGACACAGAACTTGCACACTGAACACTAAGAGCCAGAGAATCCTTAACAGCCAACTCATCAGACCGTTTGGAAAGTAGTCTGTTATCTTTGGGAGTGAGAAGGTTCCTGGCCACTACCGCAGCGGTCATATCATTCTTCATCACGGAATCCCCAACGGTAAGAGGACCAGTAGGGGAGACGAAGGATGGGCGCCATATGTTGTCTGGAGAAGGCGGGGCTGCCTCTTCAACAAGGTTCAAGTCAAAACGACGGTCGGAGGGGCCAGACATTTTCAAAGGTGTTGAAGAGAGAAGAGGTCGGACAAATCAAGATCTTAGAAGTGCAAGAATGGAGCTTCTACTGGTGGATATTCAAGTGTACTTTGGAACTTAATGTCTGCCCCTATAAAAATCTGCACTCGATGAAGCTTCAGAAATCGAAGAGGCGCCTGCTCAGAAATCGAAGAGGCGTTTGCTTTCTCAAAAGCTGGGCTGCTCAGAGACCACGAGGGTCGATCTCAGAAATCGAATAGGCGTTTGCTTTCTCAAAAGCTGGGCTGCTCAAAGACCACGAAGGCCGATCTCAGAAATCGAATAGGCTTGCTTTCTCAAAAGCTGGGCTGCTCAGAGACCACGAGGGCCGATCTCAGAAATCGAAGAGGCACCTACTTTTCCAGCCCTGTCAGCACCTGTCACACGCACACTCAGCTTTGCGG